AAAATTACTTAAATACACGTACTCTGTGACCCAGCATCCTCTCGTCCAGAGGACTTCACGTGTACAAACACAGAAGTCCTTCACGTGTGCAAAGAAGTAAGTTCAAGGATGTTCACTGAGAGTGTAATATGGGGTAGCAAAAAGTCCTGAAGCGATATTAATGGCAGCCATGCACTGGCTGCCAGTGGGTGTATACATGTGGCGTAGTGGCTAAGTAAGGTGCTAGATAAGTGTGGCCAACAGAACACTTATCATTCAGAGAGTGACGTGGATTCAGATGCATTATTATTGGTGAGAAAAGCCAGGTTGGAGCATGGGGCTTAGATCCCAAACCCCACTAAGGGAAGAGCACAGTGCTACACAGCTCCACAACCCAGAAAGATGCCAATGGCTGAATGTGTTACTGTGGTGTAGTCCCCCACCCCAAGAAACAAGATGAGTGGAAAATAAATGTTCCCCCTAACAAATATACAGGACGTACAGGAAACTGAGGAGAATGGCTGGCTGTAGGAAGGGGACTGGGAGACGTGTGTTCCCATTGGTAGCTCTGGGAGGCTGGTGTCGGGTGTGGTGGCAGAGAAGGGAGACTTATTTTGTATAGAGATTAGAGTCATGTTTATTCCCTTTTAAAGATTAATGGGGCTCCCTGTCCCTATACATAATTTCCTCCAAGGCCTCTGATAAGGGGTCACAAGTTCTATCACTGTTTTACCCCATTTTGCTTTTTACTGAAGAGCTGAATGCCCTATGTCACCGTGAGAGAGTACTAAGTAAGTGACGTCTACTTCCACATTTCCTAATTTTCATGGGTGGCCAGTGGTTTGAAACAGTCTCCAGCCACCCTTGTAGCTCCCATAGGTTCCTCTTATGCTGGGCTCAAAAACATAGCCGCTTCTCTGTAGGAGCCAATTCCTGATGTCTGAAATTTCCAAGAGAAATCACTTACTCCCAAATCAGTGCTTTCCAGATGTCTAACAGGCATTTGAGAACCACTATCAGGATTTTCCCTAGCTCTGAGGTCCACATTTGTATTTACATAGTATTTTTCTTAAATGACCCAGTTCAGAAGTTTAATAAAATTTTTTTTCTGTCTTTTTGAGACAGGGTCTCACTATGCAGTTTAGACTGGCCTTGAACTCACTCTGTTGCCCAGGCCAGCCTCAAACTCACAGTGATCCTCCTGCCTCAGCCTCCCAAGTGCTGAGATTACAAATATATGCCAACACACCCAGCCAGTAAATTTGTTTTAAAAGGATACTTTATATCAGTACTGTAAGTGTTATTACTATAAAAAAGAAAGAACCTTAAGTAAAGTCAAAACAATGCTATTAAATTCTAGGTACGAGCTGTGGCCTGGCCAGAGCTTAACTTTTTCTTTTTTGTGAAACAAGCAAACAAACAAACAACAAGAAAAACCTGGCCAGTGTTAGAGATAGATGAGCACTGGGTGTCTTTTCTAGGTGTACTTAGAATAAGGACTGCGCGGAAGCTTTTTCTCACTGTGTGGTTCAGGGTTGTTTAAGGCCGTATCAGTGCACCATTCTGTAACATTTGAATTCCACACTGTGGAATTCATGCTCTGCGGGGAAATTGGGTTAAAGCCTCTTTTTCTTCTCTACAAAGTTTCAGTTTTGTGTCCATACGCATTTGTGTCGTCTGGGCTGGACAATATATGCAGCCATTCTCATTTTGGAGCCTCTGGCCCTCGTGAACTTGGCCCTTGGCATTCTGGCCAATATTAAAGTAGCATGGCATTCAGCATGGTTTGTGAGCCTGTTTCCAAGCTCAGAAGTGCAACTATTTTGAGGCAGCATATGAGGGCAGTTGAGAATGACGCAGGCGTAAATAAAGGGGAATTTGTCTGTGTGAAAAGAATTGGAAGAATCTCTGAGCTGCTTCATTGGGTTTTCCCAAGTGGTGATGCACAGAATTGCTGCTGGGACCTCCCAGGCCGAGTGCTACAGCCACACAACTGCTGGCTCCCTGGGATAAGTCCTGAGTCTCAAGGAGCAGCCCCAGTGTGAGGTCAGTCCCACGAGGAAGTAACAGGAGGAAAGCTGGTGGTGGAGGGGTGGAGGGTTTGTGTGGTGTGCGTCCATGAAAGGAGGAGGGAGAGAGTTGATAGCAGAAAAAGACAACCTTTGTTGATGCTTTTTCAGAAATTCAAGCTGGGCATGGTGACACACACTGGTAATTCCAGCACTCTGAGGCTGAGGCAGGAGGATTCCAAGTCCTATCTGGGCAACTTAGCAAGACCTGTCAGAGACAGAGAGAGGGAAAAGAAAAGGAAGGGGGAAGAGGGAAGGCAAGGAAGGAGAAAGGGATGGAAAGAAAGAGAGAAATGGGGGAGGGGAAGGGAGGAGAAAAGATAGCGGTGTAGTTCAGTACCAAGGTGTTAGTCCAGTATCATCTAAAAAAGAAAAAAAAAAATCAGCAGATACTCAGATGATTGGGGTTAAAGTTCCCTGAGCAGTGGGCCACTTACATTATCTCCCCTTAGCTCCTCAGCCATGTGACAGCACCGTGAAAACAGTCACAAAAGGGCATATACGTGTGATCCCATATACGTGACGTGTCCAGCGTGGGCAAACCCATAGCTACAGAGAGCAGTTGGTGGCCGCCAGGGGTCGGAAGAGGGAAAATGGGCAGGGACTCCTTAATGCATACAGAAATGTTCTAGATGGTGTTGATGGATGAACAGTATTTTGAATATACTCTCATGGATGGCAAATTCAATATTGTGTGTATTTTACTACAATAAAAATATATCCCCCTCCATTACTTTTGGAGTTGCACAGGAAAAATGTTCAGTGTGTGAAGCTGGCAGACCGTAACCAGCTAATCAGAGCTGATGTCCGCGGTAATAGGAGAGTGTGACTGAATGCACCTCCTGGTGGGTATTCTGAGCACACATTACTTAGGTAACTTCCCTGCCAAGGAAACATTACCTGAATTGGATCATGAGAAAATGTGAAACACAGATTTGCTGGAAATTTCTCCAATAAATGATCAATACTCTTAAGTAGTATCAATGTCATGAAAAATAAAGAAAGAATGAGGCACCATTCTAGCCTGGAGACTAAAGAGACTTAACAACAGAATGTAGTTCCTCATCTTGGATTGGATCCTGCACAAGGAAAAAGGAGTGTTACATGGAAGGTTACTGGGGAGATTTAAATGAGATACAGATGAGATAATAGGATTCTATTATATTTCTTAATTGTGATATTATACCGTGGGTATATAAGAAAATGCTCTTATTTTTCAGAGTCATCTGTTAATGCACTTAGACAGAAAGAAGTTTGGGTTTAAGCAGCTTACTCTTAAGTGTCCAAAAAAATAGGTTGTGTGCGTATTATTCCATTGAAAATGGGGCCTAAATTTTATCATGATGAAAACATGGTCTGATTTGGAATGTATTTTTAAAAATTAATTCTGTTATCTATAAGATATTTGTATTAGACTCGATTGCAAATTATTGGAATGGAAGAAGAGTGAACCAAGTGTTGATATTAGGGGCAGAGGAGTGTATTTTCAGTCACATTACCAATGGGACATCTTTACTGGACATTTGAGTTTTGTTAACCAAAATGATGATCATGTTTATAAAAATGTTCAGAGATTTCACCAACTTTCTCAAGTGTGATTTTCAGTCTTTTGGTATTCAAAGCATTGTTTTGAATGCTTTAGTCCATCCATATCATTTCTGTTTAATTTTTTCTTGTCTTATTGCAAACTAGCCCATCTTGGACAAGTTCTCACACTTGAATGCCCTTGGGTTCCCTTCGAGCAATCATCCAGTGTCACTTTCATCAGATTAGTATAATTAGTTCTTTTGCAAGATCTCTAATTTTACTTTGCAGTCACTCCTCCTCACAGTGATCCACCTGCCTCAGCCTCCCAAGTGCTGAGATTACAGGTGCACCACCACTCCTGGCCAATAAATTTGTACGTGATTCAGACTGTACATGATTCAGATTATTTTATCAGAGCAAAAAATGACCCTGCACTCTCAGCGACTTAACATCCAGAGGCCTATTTCTCAATTGTGTCTCTGTCCAATGTATGAAATTTCAGTGTAGTATGGCTGTGCCATCTTAACTTCTTCATGGGGGCATGTGGAAGACTCACAACTGGTCTTTTATGTTCACCCTAGAAATGACACTTTGCCCCAACCTGTCCATGAGGGAGTCTGGGAAATGTAGTCGTCCTGTGAGATCAGAGTGAGGGAAGAGAAATGATGGCTGTCTAGTACCCACTGTATTTTTATTTTAGGAGCCAGTGTTGTTCAAATGGGGATACGTATTAAGAGGAGCAGTGTTGGAGTAGGGACTGATTTTTTAAGTGGTCACATCATTCGTAAATACCTTTGTATTGTGATCATTTTTGTATTGTTAGAAAGCAGGGCCTCTGATAATGAAAACTCATATCATGAGTTCCTGGGATAGAGGAGATCAGGACTAGCATATTTTTGTTTATTTGCTGGGGAATTGAACCTTGGGCCTTGAGCACGCTAAGCAAATGCTGTACCACTGAGCTACACCCCCAGCCCGGGAACAGCATGTTTGCACGCTGAGCTGCTCCTTTTTGACCCTGTGCCTGCAGCTTGCTGGGAAGGTGCAGGGTTTTTCTGAGTTAGGAATTTTAATGGGTCCTTACCCCTCTGTCCCACGAGAAATTCTTGGTACCCAGACTCTGCAGCACCTCTGGCCAGATGCTGGTCCCCTAAGTCTCCAGGGGAGGGAAGATGAGAAGAGCTATTTTTTTTTTGTTTTTCTAAGGGCCCGTTAATAGTTGTTCCTTTATTGCCAGGTGTTGTGACACATGCTTGAAATCCTGGCATTCAGCCAGCAGAGGCAGGATTGCAAGTTTGAGGTCAGCCTGAGTAATTTAGCAAGACCTTTGTTTTTTTGTCAAAAAACAAAATAAAACAAAACAAAATTTGCTCGTTTGTCTTTTGAATTTTGTTCTACCACTGAACTTGTCCTTCCTCCTTTTAGCACATCCTTCTCTGGGCTTCAGCGTGACCCCTCGGCCCGCCCTGCTCTGTGAACATGTTGGTGCTTCTTTTCTTCATCATTGCCTTCCACATCACCTCTGCAGCACTGTTATTCATTGCTACCATCGACAATGTGAGTTCCTGTTCCCACTGACCATCTTGGGGCCCTTGGATGGTAGAGCCAATAGAAGCAGAATAGAGAACATGGTTGACTTGATTGTGATTTGAGAATGTCCTCTCCTTGGCCTCTTTATTAGCTTTCCCATCACTGAGGTACAATTTCCAACACCCACAATTTAAAGGAGGAGAGGTTTAATTTGACTCATGGTTTTGGGGGATTCAGCCCATGGTCATCTGGCTCCAAATAGGAACATCATGGTGGAATGGCATGGCAGAACAGAGCTGCTTCGTTCACGGCAGCTGGTAAGCAGAGCAGGGGAACAGTGCCAGAAGGAAGGGACCAGGGACCAGATATAGCCCCAAGATCACACCTCCAGTGCGTACACTGACACACCCAGAAGTGTGCTCCCCCAGTCCCCAGGGTGGCTCCCGTGCCAGTCAGGATGACGGAATCAAGCTTACCACGACAGCCTGTGTGTAGGGTTTCTAGAGCATCACCTGTTTGGGTTTGGACTGCAGGATCTGGAAGATAGTGTCCTCTCCCCGCTGGTTCCCCGTACTGAGCCTACTGTGGTGCCTGACTCTGGGAAGCCCTTTGAGGATTGTGTGTAAATTCAGCTCTCTTGCAGATATTGGCTCTTAACCTCAAGACTGTCATCATCTGGGCTGGATAATGCTTGGTTGTAGGGGCTGCCCCGACCATTGAAGGGGCTTAGCAGCATGTCACTTGATGCTACTAAGACCTCCCCTTATTTATAAAAATCAAAGCTCTCTTCAGACATTGCCTGCTGTTCTATAGAGCAAAATCAGAGGGCCACGGTCCTAGATCCCCAGGTGACCCATCTCAGGCCACCTGTGTTCTCTGCTCCCAACATCTCCTTACCAGCCGGGAGGCCTAGCTCACCTGGCCATGCTCTCCTTGCAGAACTCATGTGTGGAACTTTCCAGACTCTCCACGTTCCCCATGAAAACTGAACTCTTCCCTTTAGTATCCAGCTGGCAGCCATATGGCAAGAGCATATTTGGTAATCTCTTGGTTACATTAAGATCCTTCCAGGCAGGAAGTGAAGCTTTTAACAGAGATCCTCTTGGGCCCATGCCCTGATCATTTCAGACTACAGAGATATTTAAGGGGCTGAAACACTACTCAGAAGGCCCCAAAGGGGTCACCAACTCTGCGTACAAGGAGGTCCCCTATAATTAATCATCTCCACAGTAACACCTGCCACTTGGTAACACCTGATCACTGTGGCCTGTGTCAGTCCTTTAGTGGCAGTTATTTCCTGATGAGAGAGCTGAGCCCTTGCAGGTCCTAGATTCTGTCAGGGAGGTGGCCCCAACTTCGGCCCCAGAGGCTCTTGCTGAGCTGCCATGAGTGGCCTGAGCAGGGACTGTACGGATGCTATGCCCCTTTGGAAGGGTCCACTGTCTGTGAAATAAAAGGTATTGGATATTCTCTTAGAATCCCCTTTTTCTAGTCCTTGCATTGTGTCCTTTGGGATCCTGAAAAGGTTCCAGACTTAGTGAAAAGGACAGGTGGGCTTTAGGAGCAGGAATTCTGCCATATACGCTCTTACTGAGGAGATGATGGGAGAGATGGTGCCCATCGTGCTATGGGAACTGTGCTCAGCTTCATAGCTGGTTCCCTAGGGATTGTTTGCAGACCAGCTGACTGAGGGGGAGGCGCCCAGTCTTTGGGGCTGGGCATCAAGAAGAAGGCCATCCTGGGCAAGCAGGGCCACAGAAAGCTCAGAGAGAAATGGAAGCACTGGGCCGAGGCAGGAGAGTTTAGTGTCCGCTCTGCTGCTCACAGGCAGCTCCCTGCATGTCATCCTTTCTGGTGGGATCGTCTCTTAGTGTCATCGGCTCAGCCACATCCCCCGCATGGGCCCGGAGGACGTGAGCCCCACTGTTCCCTCCACAGACCTGCAGTCTGGGCAGTGTGGGGCCTTGTTCCGTTGGACCTCCAGTCCCACCCCAGGCTTCCTGCCTAGAGCCTGCATGGAACAAGACCTGGCTGGACCCTGCAGTTAGTGTTTACTCTAAGTCTCACATGCCGTTAGGAGCCCGTGTCTGCCTCAGTGATCAGCGTTCCTTCTCTCTGTTGCTGTTTCTGCTTGCAGGCATGGTGGGTAGGAGAAGACTTTTTTGCAGATGTCTGGAGGGTATGCGTCAACACCACGAACTGCACAGAAATCGGTGAACACTTTGCAGGTGAGTGTGGCCGAGTGGAGCCATGGAGGAGCCCCTTGGGCAAAGGAGCCTCCTTTAGCAAGGTGGGGTGTGTTCTGACCCCACCCGCCTCCCGCTCCCCGTCTGCTGAGGCTTTGCTCGGTGCCTCATGGAAGAGGGGGCAGAACAAGCTAGAGTCACAACTCAACACCCAAGCTAGAGGCGGGTGGGGAAGCTCAGCTTGCTGAGGACGTTGAGACGTCTCCCTCCAGTGGAGCGCACGGGTAACACTGGAAGGCTCCTTGGCTGTCTTTGTGCTCAGACCACATAGAGGGGTCCTCAGCGTGCGCCCTCACCCTCTGTCCGCAGATTACTCCACGCTGCAGGCAGTGCAGGCCTCCATGATCCTCTCCACCATCCTCTGCTGCATCGCCTTCTTCATCTTCCTTCTGCAGCTCTTCCGCCTCAAGCAGGGCGAGAGGTTCGTCCTGACCGCCATCATCCAGCTCATGGCATGTGAGTCAAGCCCTGCGGAGGGGCGGGCAAACCCTCAGGAAGGAGGAGTGGGCGAATGTGCAGTGCCAGAGCTGCGCACTTTGTATTCGGGCGTTTGGATTTAGTTAGGGGTGGGGGAAGGTGGGTGAGCTGACAGTGTACAGGCTGAGCAGGGATCAGAAAGGGAGGAGGAGCTGCTGTGTACACTGCGCCCTCGTGGTGCAGACGGAAGAGTGAGCTGGTTGAGGGGAACGGCGTGGCCGGAGCCTGTGCTGGGCCGCCTGAGAGCTGGCCAGTGCATTGGAGTATGAAATTTGGGCTCTGGCGGGACGTGGGCCAGACGGGCAGACGGGACCCACATGCGTCTTGCACACACAGAAAGGCCCGGGGGTCTTTATCCTAAGCCAGTGAGAAGCCACCAAAAGGTTTAAGGCTGCTTGGCGATGGAACTGCGCACTTTGGCCAGGCCTGTGCAGGCTCTTGGAGGTAAAGAGACGAGCAGCTCACAGCCTCAGTTCTGGGGGGATTTAGAGCAAGCAGATGTCGCAGAACACGGTTTTCTACCTGTGAAGTTTAGCAGGACTGAAATCAGATGAAGTCTCTGCCATGACAGGATCATCTGTGGTTGTTTTAATTAAGCTGGCCAGGAAAGGCCTGGGCCCCCTGATGGACCAACCTGTAAGAACTGCCTGTCCAGGGGAGAAATAGGCCCCCCAAAGGCAAACAGCGCTGTCAGTCTCCTATCGGTGAATATTGGCACTGCAGGTGTTTCGGTTAGGATCCTGCTTTGGCTGCATGAAAGAGAAAACCCAGTGAACGAGGATTTCAGCCATAAGAGTACTTACTGTTTTTACATAAGTAGCCTGGAGGTGGAAGGTGCCACAGTTCCTTGGAAGATCCTCAGCATCAAACACCCCAACTCTTTCCATCCTTCTCTTCTGTCATTTTAAGAGTAGTGATGATGACCCCTGCAAGGTCCTAAAAGGGCTGCTGCAGCACCAGACATTCCATCCTGACCTGACTGTATTTAAAGAAGCAAGCAATTAAAAATGCTTCCTTTCCCTCATCTCTTTCCAAGGAATATTTTTCACTAAAGCATTATCTGTGGCCAGAACATACAAATTCAGAAATCATAACAAGTAAACAGGGTTGGCAAACTATGGGCCATGCTTCTATAAATAAAATTGTGTTGGAACACAGACACTCCCATTTGTTTGTGTGTTGCCGACGTTGCCATTATGGTCCAGTTGGAGAGGTGAGTATTTGTAACTGTGCCCTCCGCAAAAGCCTGGGCTGTTTACATAAGAGCCCTTCGTAGGACAAGTTTGCTGACCTTTCCCTGAAATCAGGTTGGACCTATCTTCTGGGCTGGTTCTTGGTGCCCCAACAAAACTGAGTTTAGCCAGCAGTAATAAGGAAGAGGGTAGCTACAAGGCAGGTGGCAGTGTTCTGATACCAGGTACTAGTGTAATGTTCCCAATCGCCTGAAATAAATACCCACCAATGCTAATTGCAGACATCTGTGTTCAGCTCTGGCAAGATGCTCCTGACTCAGTGGAGTGCATGGTGGCTTTATTGGAATCCTGCTCTGTTCCTGACAGGTCTGTGTGTCATGATCGGTGCCTCCATTTATACCGACCGCCGCCAAGACGTTCACAGCAATAACTACCACTTCTACCACCTGACCTCAGAAGGCAGATACGGCTACTCGTTCATCCTGGCCTGGGTGTCCTTCGCCTTCACCCTGGTCAGCAGCCTCATGTACACGATCCTGCGGAAGCGCAAATAGAGCTGGGGCGCCGGGGCCTGCAACACAGAATCCGCACCAGATAACCATTTTGTATATAATCATTTTTTGTGGTTTTCCTAGCAAACGTATTGTTTCCTTTAGAATCCAAAAGGAAAAAAAAAGTGGAGAGAGAAAGAGGAGTTTTTGCATTTTTGAGATCAGAGAATAGGCTGGTATTCAGAACTCCTGCCCACCCGAAAGTCTCAGCAAGACAAAGGCACAATCCAGAGAGCGCTGGGCAGGACATTTCTTAACCTTGGGGCTGGGGAGAGGGTGACGGGAGAAGGCGAGTTCTCTGGGAGGTGTTTCCTGTAGAGTGTGGCCTCACCTCTCCATTCCCCTCCTCAGCTTCCCTTCCTGAAGCTCTGTCCAAGGCGGAAGGTGTGGTGAGAAGGGACCCGGGTGAGGTACCGCAGTGTCCTCAGATGCTGAGCCCAAGTTCATTGAGAACCAGGGGAGGGCAGTCCCTGATGTCTTGTCTGCAAGGGAGCCAGAGCCTGCGCCCTCCTGCGGTGGGGTAGGGCGGCCACCCGGATTTGCTGTCCACGTCTCTTGCTTGCCTTGGGGACAGTGATCCTCCACATGGCTGTCAGACTGAGGCAAAGAATCTCCACAACTGATTCCTTAGAGCATCTTTTAAAATGCAGACTCTAGGTCCACTCCCCAGACCCTCAGCATAGGTCTTCAAGGGATGGTCCTGGGAATCTGCATTCCTAACAAGCTCCTTGGAAGATGCTGGGATGCACTAGAATTGGGCACCACAAGCCCCAAGCCAGGTGAGCAGGCTACTAGCAGACTTGTGTTGAGAAGGCCCCACTCCCAGCCATACTTTGGCCTCCATCGACTCCCGGTTCTCGCTGCCTCTTCCACAGCTGTTTACATCTGGGCCACCCATGCTGCACACCCAGGCATGTGTCCCAGTGGCCCCACACCTCTCCCAGGCCTCTTCCTTCTCTTCCTGCCCGCACCCTATGCCTGGCTGCCTCTGCTAACCCCTATTTCTGCAGCCCCAGACGACCATGCAGCATTCATTCATTCATTCATTCACTCATTCGTTCATTCATCAACATAGATCCCAGCAGACTTGTCCGCGATGCCCTCCCAAGACAATCTCTGTCCTCATGAGGCTCGGTCTAGTAGAGGAGACAGACCAGTTAGGTAACTGATTACAAACTCAGGTGGAGCTACAGAGGGCACAACTGAGGATTCAAAACAGGCCCTGAGGATGGAAGGAGCTGCTTTATGCGCAGCTGTTTTTAAATGCTCCAAGGCATTAGACCCACCTAAATATAGCTCCAGTCCATTCAGACAGGTGGCATTTGTTGGGCAGCGCCTGCATGTATTGTACCCAGAGAACATTCTGTGGAAGACCCCCTGGACCCCACAGCAAATGAGGCAAAAGAGGATCCCCAGAGGCAGGGTTCTGGGCACCAGAACCACGCAGGAGAGTATCTGGTGTGGCAGGACCTGCGCCCAAAGTACCCTCCACACTGTCTCCCCAGGTGGGCGCTCTGTGATGCCCTCACACCACAGTGGAAACAAGCTAAACGTCTTGGAACCTAACTCCCAAACAGTGTGTGGATTCCCTTCACAAAAAACCCTCAGGGCTGCAAGCTGTCTGCGTCCCTACAATCCAGAATGACCTCAGGGGTTTTCCCAGCTGGCTGCCCCTGGGTCTGACATTCAGGGCCCACATCCATCTGTGACGCGCAGTTTGGGGAACGCAAGAGATGCCTCTTCCCTGCTGTGTGTCGTGCATTTGGGAAGGTGGAGAGTTGATGATGTCGGGGAGAAAATACCCATCCATCCTCCCTGTAGGTAGGATCAGCCCTCGTTTGGTGCTTATCATCAGCTATTCGAGAACAACTACCAAACTAGCTAAGACATCCAAGAAGCAAATATTTGGACCAAATTTATAACTGTGTTGAAGGAACTGTAGTTTGCGCATCTTACGACATTTTTATAAAGTACTGTAATTCTTTCATGGGGGGGCCATGTGATGGAGGCAGACTAACTTGTTTTGTTATTTGCATTAAAATTATTTTGGGTCTCTGTTCAGAAGAGTCTGGGTCAGAATGCTTGGCGCGTTGCTGCGTGGGAATGTGTGTGCACACACGTGAGCACAGGCGGGTCGGAGGCTGCCTGGCTCCCGCCCTCCGCTGCAGGTTGCCAGCCTGATGACGGAAGAACCTGTAACCCCCAGCCCTCACCTAAACACCAAACACAGCGGCCTCCTGGGGAGCCGCTTCATAGCAAAATTCGCCTGGGTTGAGAATTACTAGACCCACAGGTCCTTTACAGGTTACTTATGGAGGAGCAAGTTGGACAGTTCTGTGTACTGAAAGGCATTGGTGATGGTGCTAGGGAAAGGTGGTGAGGTTAACGGTAAATTTCGATTTGGGGACAAATGTGATTGTAGGGTGGTTAGATGCTTTCTACTTAATGTACCTTTAAAATAATCCATTTTCTATGTTTTGTATAGTAAAGTGTGCCTGAAAAATAAATTTTAAAATCTAATTTCCCAGAGCAACAGACTCTAAAGTTGCCTAGTGTGATAACATCTAGGGTCAAATGCTACTGCTGGGAGTGGCCGGGGTAACAGGGCATCTCAGTTAGATGATAATGCACAGCTGTTAGGGCAGGCTGCCAGTGAGTGGCTGTTAGCCGTGGGGTAATCACCCTTGCCCTCTGTTTTCTGACATGGTAGCTTCATAAGCTCTACAGTCCCACATGTTGAAGGATCCAGTGCTTGGTGAATGATCTCCTAGTGCCATCTTAAGATCCATAGTGATCTTTGAGCAAGCTACTTCATGTTTCCATTTTGCAGAGGTTCCTGAAAAGTAATTGTCTTAGTCACTTTCCCGTGGCTGTGACAAAACACCCAATGCCTACCACTTAAAGGAAGAGAGGTTTATTTGGCTCAGTTTCCAGTGGGTTCAGTCCCTGGTTGGCTGACTCCCAAGATAGAAGCAGCATAGATGGGCCTGGAGGAAGCCAACAGTTCACCTCATGGAATCCAGGGAGCAGTGTGCAGAGGGAGGAGCCAGCGGCAAGAATACACCTTTCCAGGTCATGCTCCCATTGGCTGGCCTCCAACCTGGCCCAACCTTTGACCAGCACATTCACTTCTAAACTCATCAGTGGATGAATCCACTGGTGAGTATAGGGCTCCCGTGAGCCAGTCACCTTCCAAACATATGAGACTTTGGGGAGTACGTTTTAGATCTAAACTATAGCAGTAATTGATCCTATTCTTTGCTATATTGCCTCGGCTGGCCTCAAACTCCTGGACTTATCAGTCCTCCTGCCTCAGCTTCAGTGGCTGGACTGCAGGTGTGTACCACCATGCCCAGCTCCTGGTCCTATTCTTTAGTTTGTATTTTAATAAAGACCTCTGCTCTAAAGGGGAAGGGTCATAATGAACATTGAACTATCTGTCCAGCATACTCTGCTGAAAACCAAAGAATTCAGCCAGAGATAGACAGATCTTTAATTTTTATCTAACAAGTGTCAAAGGTAGCCAAAGTGCTTTATTTCTTTGCTTCTGTGCAGCGATTATAATCTCTGTAGACTACTGTCTGTAGCCTGTGTTGCAGGGTATTTTTTTTGTCTGTATGGCGGATGGATGGTAGTCACCCCAAGAGCATTCTGTTTTATATCTCTTCCACTCAGGAAATCAGCCTATTGTTCATTAATTCAGTCAGTCATTTGCCAAATATTTGTGTACCTCCTGTGGCCCAGGCACTGTGCTACTCTAAGCCTGTGGGGAGTTCCTAGCAAAGAGCCTGGGAAGACAGTTCAAACAGGGAGTCTTGGCTTGGTCTTATCCAGAGCCCAGCAGGCCAGAGCGGTCCTGCTGCATGTTTTCATTTGGGCCATGAACTAAAATTAGTTTTTGCCTCTTTAAATGGTTGGGGGGAAAGTGAAAAGGCTAATACTGGGTGACAGGTAAAGGTGATACAAAGTTCAGTCTCAGGGCTGAGTTTTATCGGAACGCAGCCATGCCCATTTGTGTAGCTACTGTGTGAGGCTACCTTCACGCGAGAAGACAGAGTTGGCACAGCCACCATAGGCCTCTCAAAACCCGAAATGTACTGTTATCCGACCCTGTACAGATAGTATCCTCTGGCTTTTTTTCCCCTTTGTGGTACTAAGGATTGAACCCAGGGCTTTGCCTGAGCTGCATCCCAGCCCCTTTTTATTTCTGATTTTGAGACAGGATCTCACTAAGTTGCTTAGTTGCCCAGGCTGGGCTTGAACCTGTAACATTTCTGCCTCAGCTTCCCAGTGTGCTGGGATGAGAGGTGTGTGACCCCATGCGTGTCACCACTTTGGTGTCCCTCCTTTAAATCACCCCACCCTTCGGTTACGTGGCAGGTGCCGCCAACTCTCCATCCGTGTAGATGGCAGGTGTTGCAGAAAGCATCTCAGTAAAACTGTATTTTCTTCCATTTTTGGTATTCAGTGAACTCGTTTTGACCCAAGACATTTTTTCTTGTAGAATCTTATTGAAGGTTGTAAGAAGTTGACCACAGCCTGATGTATTTCAGTGATTTCTCCTCAGACTTCCACCTCCACTAGTTCACGGTTGCTGTGAAAAGGGTGATAGTTTAAACTAAATTGTAAACTGAACTGTGGCCCATGGTCCACATCCAGCCCATCACCTAGTTTTGTAAATAGAGTTTTACTGGACATAGCCACGATTAGACATTGACATGGCATTCACAGTTTCAAGAGGGAAAGAGGAATCTGCCGGGACTAAAACCTGAAGCATTCGAGAAAGCTGATGTGCAGGTAAGACTACCACCCCCTAGTGGTGCTGTGCGGCAGTCCAGCAACAAAAGCATCAGTTCACACCGTTTAGCAACTGCTACATGCTGGTGAAAACTAACGGGTGAAGTTTTTATTGATTTAAATCTGTCCCTACCAGACCCCTGCTATGCACTGATTTTTACTGATCTCAATTTACTCTTTTTTAGATGTGATTTTTTTCACCCTTGTTTCCCTTAAAGTGTTACTATCTCAAGTTAGATTTACAGCGTGCAACTGGGTGTTGACATAGAATTTACTAAATAACTTCAGCTTTCCATGTCTGTAGGTTTCACATCCTTGGGTCAGATGTCTTAGAATCAGTCTCGGCTGGAAAAATATTAAAAAATGAAACAAAAAATTACACATGTACTGAACATGTAAGGGCATTTTTCCTTGGCACTGTTCCCTAAAGAACACAGTGTAACAGCTATTTACATAGTGTTGACATAGTATTAGGTATTACTAGAAGCCTAGTGATCACTTAAAGTAGAAGAGAGGATGTATGTAGGTTACATGCAAATTCCATAGCATTTTACATAAGGGACTGGAGCGTCCTTCAAGTTTGGTATGCATGAGGGACCCTGGAACTGGTCTCCCTCAGACACCAGCAGATGATCATACTTAAAAAGAATACTTTTGAAAGTACAAACACAGTCTGAAGTCATTTTAAATAGACATGTTATGTAAAGTATTTGTGAATGCTGTCTTTCAAGATTTTTCCGCATCCGAGCTCCATACTTGACCTTGTAGGACAAGGTGTCTCAATGTCAGCACCACTGACATTACCCTGGAAAGTTGGTGGTGTGCGGGCATCCTGGGTACAGTGGGTGGTCTGTAGGATCCTTGACCTTCACCCACTAGATGTCAACAGTACACGGTATGATCAGTGAATACAGTGAATGCTTAAATTTTTTTAAAAAATTATTAAAGTAAAAGATGAATTGCTGTCAATTCGCAAAATACTCCCAAACACATGCTTCACATGCACTTATCCCATCATTCTTGCCCCTTTCTGAAGCAGCTCTGGAAGTCCTCTTTCATGACTGTCTTTAGCTGTGCCCCTGAGGTTGCCTGTGTGTCTTGAGTTAATTCAAAATGTTGACCTTCCATTTGTCATTTTGATGTTGGAAAGGAACAAGAAGTCGCATGGTGCCAGATGCAGTGAGTAAGGTGGATGAGGGCACTAAATTATTCACAAGCCAGCCTTCCCATTGGATGGCATTTAGCACTAGGATTCACCATATTTGTTTTTATCATACCATATAAACACACTCACGAAAGAGGATTTCCAGGATTGCTTCAGAAAGTGACAAGAATATGGGATAAGGAAGGAAAGAAGGGAAGAGAGAAGAGAATAGAAGAAAAAAAAGGAAACAAGGCTTTTATAAATGAGGGGAAAAGGGTTGAAGAGGGGGAGGTGACTGGGGAGAAAAGAAGAATCAAAGTATATTATGTGCAGGTACAAATTCCCTGTGATGAATGCGATCATTATGTATATCTAAAACGTATCAATAAAATTAATTTTAAAAAATAAATAAAATAAGAGCTACAAAAAACGACCGATGAGACAAGTATGTTAGAGGTGAGGAGGAGTGCTTTGTGGGGTTAATGGCAATGTGTCTTTTACTGTAATAAATTTTTTTATTTTCAATTTAGACATTCACTGTATTTTTTCCCTGTAAAATCTCCCGTCCCTACTGTGTGACAAACAAAACTATCTCCGGGCATGGCGATAGTCCCTTGTGTGGGGAGGGCACTGCTGTGGGGTTTGATGTGTGCCAGGAAACACAGTGACCAGCAATCTGAACGTGAGTGGTGCTTCTGGGGGCTGTTGAACTCGACAGCAAAGGTGGCCAGCCCAGAGCCACACAGGACAGACACAAGGACTGTCCATGCTGCCAGGACCCTCCGTGCCCCAGCCCAGGAGTGCAGCCCAAGTTGCTCCATCCCAAAGCTCACACTGTGTGTTCGCTCAAGAGCTCGTCCTCTGCTGGAGCAAACAGGGACAAGGAACCACTGCTCCTCCGTGTTTGTAGGAGACGATAGTGTAACTTCCCCAGGGCCTGGTACATGCATGGAAAGAGATGGGACTTGCCTTTGACACAGGGTACCTTAAATGACAGAATTTTATTTTTTTACTTTTTGGCCAGGAGGGGAAGTAAAATTGTTGTGTCAGCACTCCCCAAATGCCCCAGACTTTAGAACAAGGTGGGAGACCTAACCCTTCAGGAAATATTCCGCTAGAA